ATAGCAAAAGTATCTTGGTCTCCTCTACATTCATAGACTATTCTAGAAAGAGACTCAAGAAACTGATAATCCTTTGGGAGATGAGAAACCAGGAGCCTGGGGACTTGGGGTAGGCTTTCAATTGTATGTGCTTTTCAACAGGATGCATTTTTACCAATTGTATTATTTATTTTTCACTAAGAAAGTTTTTTAAATATTGTGCTTCAGGTTTCTTTTTTTCAGATGCAACTTGAAGACAGAATTAATCTCTCAAGTTACCCAATCTAAAGCAAAATCATCAGATAAAGGCTACCACAGTTCCAGGAAGGAAATACCATGGTTGATGAGCTTGGGATGGGGACACTGGTTTTAAGAACCCTTTGATACCATCTAGAGAGCAATTTTAGCAGTGTGGTGAGTGGAGAAATGGCCACCACAGCATGATTCACATACTCATGACCACTGGCCATGAAGAGGAAAGATGAGAAAAAAGCCACTAAGAAGGGCAGCCAAGGTAACTAAAAGATTTAGAAGTTTATTTTTTTAAGGATTAAGAAACGCCTCTGTGCTTAAAATCAGAAGAGGATTAAGATGCTAGAGATTGATTATCTGTCACCTTATGAGGTCATGTCTGTCTAGTCACAGTTGTATTCGATAACATCTAGCTACACCTGCTACAGAATCGGTGCTTGATAACCATCTGTGAAGTGATCAGAGGAAGGGACAGACGGAGAAGGAAGCATTGCCCTTCTGATGCCAATGCCAAGTTACTCTGAAAGGACAAAATGCAGAGTTCAGGTGGGACTTTAAAGAGAAGCTGTGGTACATGGGTTTGTCAGGAGACCAGACCTTTCTTCTGCAATGCGATATGAGACACCCGCTCCCCTGAGCACTAGCAAGTGGAAGGAAGGGCTGGAGTCTGCGGCAAGAAGGATGTTTTGGGAGAGAAGGTACCATGAGCAGTGTCAAGAGCACATAATGGAACAGCAAAAACTCTCTTGTTCTACATAGAAGCCATTCATTTCCAAACACAAACCACTTCAATTAATGGGTCCCTGTCTTGGTCAATTTTCTGCTTCTATATAGAATATCACAGACTGGGTAACTTATAAAGACAAGAGACTTATTTCTCATGGTCCCAAAGGCTAGGAAGTCGAAGGTCAAGGACCACACCTGGTGAGAGCCCTGCTTGCACTGCTATAACACGGTGAAAGGCAAGAGCATGTGAGATGGAATGGGGTGAGTTCTCACAGCAACTGATCCACTCCCTCCCAAACAGTCTTAATCCATTCAACATGGTGACAGCCTCAGGACATTGTTACCTCTTAAAGGTTCCACCTCCCCCAGTACCATCACAGCAGCAACTGTATTTCAACCTGAATTTTGGAAGGAACATTCAAACCCTGTACCAGCCATGTGCTGGTCCCGAGGGAGGCAGCAATAAGTGGAACCACTCTGCCCTGAAGGCTATGAGACCCTAGACCACTGTAATGCCATTGGCCAAGCGCCATCTGCCAGCAGCATTGCAGAGCAGAGGTGCTCTGGGAACACAAAAGACAGCATCAGCAATTCAGCTGGTGAGGTCTCCTGGGAAAGATGCACAGAAGAGGTGACATCCTAGCTGGGTTTAGGAGATAACGAGACATTCCCTAATTATATTTATTCATTTCCCAACAACTACTTATGAAGTGCCTACTCTGCACCAAGCACTCTGTCAGGCTCTGGGGACACAGGGAAGATCAGCGACAGCCACAGTCCTTGGCCTCACGGCCAAGGAAGGAAGGGCCATGAGTCATACGATTATATGAAAGGCAAAACTAATCCTGAAAAGGGCTGGACGCACAAGGCTCTATGAAGGCTGAAATAACATACATCCCTAGAAACTAGTTGTGGCCAAGAATGCTAGCTTCACTTGATCTTAGCCAAAGGCTGAGAAGCGATAAATGCTAGCTTTAGATGCATCATAATTTTATTTTTATGAATAAAAACATTGATTACCTGGGATAAACTAGAGTTCCAAGCTCCCACCTTACAGCTAGGTTTGGCCATGCAACTTGGTGGCCTATTTACAAGCAGAAGTCATGCCTGGGACTTCTGGGCTCCCCCGTAAAAGAAAGGGCTCATCTTCCCCTCCTCCTCCTCCTGGCTGGAGATGGTGGGGGTCAGTGGATAAGAAAGATACTAGAGGGAAAGTGGAAGAAGGAGTTTGGGTCGATGCCAGACATCAGCCTTTCAGCTCTCACTCAGGCAGTTACACACACACACACACACACACACACACACACACACACACACACACTGGACTCATTCTAGTCCTGTACTGGAGCAGCCAAGCCTACATATCTTACAGTGTTACTTAAGGCTACAAGTCATTACTTAATAAGGCAACAAACAATTGGTCAGGCTTGTGTGTTTAGAAACTGCTTGATCCCTGCCTATAACAGGACTTTGAACATTTGTATATTTGGGATTTAGGTGGGAGAATGAAATAGTGGTGGGATATGGAGAGAAGTTTGGCTTCGAGGTTTCATGTCTTTTTACAAACCCTATGCTTCTGAGATTAAGTTGTGTGTGGCCTAGAATCCCCTCAAGATAGAGGGCCTGTCTGAACATGACTCACCATCACAGAAGTAGGGATGTGTGGCTTAATAAACAGATAACGGCTTCACTCTCCTGCTTCCCTTTTATGGAGTCTTCAAGTGGATGAAACACTGTTCAAGAAATATGGTCCCTACTTGGTTCACAACAGAATGAAATAAAGATTATTAGTAGGAGATGGCTTTCTGTCCCACTTTCAAGATTTTAGTGAAAAGAGATTCTATTTAAAAATACATCCCGTGTCCAGGAGAAATGATTTGGCATAACTTTCCAGGTAAGAAAGCACTTTCTCACACATTAGGTCTCCTAACTCACTCTGCCTAAATAACCTAGATGTAAGACCGACCCATTTTCATTTGCCTATTGTACTCCTGAAGTTCAGTGACTTCCAAGATGCCATGCAGCTGCAGGGAAGGAGCAGAGCCAGGCCAGAAGGCTGGATGCCCCAGCTCCAAGTCTACCTTCCTTTTCCTGTACCTGTTTTGCTTCACATTCGTCTGAAATTAGTGACCATTCCCTGAACATTTGGAAGACCACAGGCTTGGTGGGTGCCACAGTTTGAATCTGGAATGTTCAGAAAGGCCCATATGTTCAAGGCTTGCACCCCAACTTGGCAAAATTGAGAGGTGGTAGGAATTTGAAGAGGTGCGGCCGAGTGGAAGTTTTCAGGTTATTGGAGACATGGCCTCAAAGGGGATTATGGGGCCTTGGTCTCTTCCTTTCCCTCCCAATTCCTAGCCACGAGGTAACTCAGTGTAGCCTGCTATGTTCTTCTAGGGTCCAACCATGCACCCAAATTTCCAAAACTGTGAATCAAATTAAACCTTTCTTCTTTATAAGTGGATTTTCTCAGTCATTTGTTACAATGATAGAAAGCCGGCTGGCACAACAGGAAAGCATCAGGTGTGTGCATATGGCTGCACTGTGCAGCTCTGTGGGGTGACGGGAGGTGAAGAGGCACTGACAGCAACACCTGGAGCTCTTCAGGCAAGAATAACCAGAGAGGACCAAAAAAAAAAAAAAAAAAGAGGAGACGGTGTTACAGCTTCTGGAAGCCCCACCTTTCCACAGGTGTCCATCGGTGCTGAAACTGAAGCTGCAGGCCCCAAAGCTAACACACACACGTGCACACATACACCTGCACAGGTTCAGACCAAACTCACTGGACCTCCCTAGCTGTTCTTAAAAGTCTGAAGAGTCTTAAAAGTCTTTTAAAGAAAGTCCAGTCCTAGTTTTTTGTAAACTGGTATATTTGATAAATATTTACACTTCACTAATCACTTGGTAAATGAATATTTTGAGAATCATCTAGTGTCACTTAGTGATAGAACCAAGTATCTAATTTCGTCTCCAGATCTCAAGCCCCGACTCTTCACAGGAAATTCCACTTCTTGGCAAATGAAAAAGGTGAAATAAAAGAGCCAAACAGGAACTTGAAGAGGCTTCAGAGCAAGCTGAGAAAGACTTACTAGCTTTGCACAATACCTTGTAAATAAAAGAAGTGGGGAGAGAAACAATTGTAGAAGGATTTAATGGGGCTAATAGATCAAGGAATATTTATAAGAAAGGAAGAGAAGAATTTTCTCAAATGACTGTAAATACATACATGTAAAGGCAAACGCATGCAAAGATTCTTCATCGACATGAAAACCTTCTAAAATGTTTTAAGGGAGTTTACTTATCAACATAAAATTCTGTTTTCAACATAATATCAATATATTACACACACAGGTACACACATACAAATGAGAATACTGATTTTAAAATGAATTGACCATGTGCCAGAGATTTAGCTCAGTGGTGCCTGCCTGGCAAGTGCAAGGTCCTGAGTTTGATCCGCGGTACAAAAAAAAAAAAAAAAAAAAAGAAAAGACAAATACCTGGAACAGATACTGAAAAACACTGGTTGCATATCTGAACTTTACATTTAACTGAGCTCCTGCATTTTACCCAGCAACCCTACTGGGGGCCACACAATAGGATTTTTGTTGTTGTTGTTGTTCGTTTCGCAACTTGAACCCATTAAATGAAAGCTCCATTACCTTGAAGAGTCCAATTTTTTTTTGTTGTTGTTGTTCATTTCGCAACTTGAACCCATTAAATGAAAGCTCCATCACCTTGAAGAGTACAATTTCCAAAGTCTCTTTAAAAATGTGGCGTGACTCCCTTCCTGGTCAAAGACTACAACCTTCAGCCCTCTGGCGCACGGGCATGCGCAGGAAGACTCGCGCATGCGCAGAGCAGCCTGCAGCGCGTGCTCGGGCAGCCTTCTGCTCCCACAGAGGCGAGCACCTGTCACCCTAGAGCCAGGCCAGCGCCTCTGTCCCTCCCTCCCCCACGGCGGGGCGCCGACCCGCGGTCCCCTGCCAGCCCTGTGCTGTCTATTTATATCACTCAGCCGGCTCAGGCCTATATTGGGCTGTGCAGCTGGTCAGGCCCCGCCTGGCCCTGCGACCCCGGAGCGTCCAGGCCAGGTCTCAGAGACATCGCCCGGCCCTGAGGAGCGAGTGGGTGTAAGTAGAGGTGGAGGGCGGGGATCGAGGTGGGCGCAGCCCGCGACCTTGTGTGACCTTGGGGCCCTGGGGCCGCTGGCGACTTCGGGCCCTGGCCCTGTCTGCCGCCCAGCTCGCCCCCTCGTCTCTGTCGCTGTCAGTGTCCTGGTCTTCACCATAGTGTCCTCCTCCGAACTCCACCTACTTCTTTTCTGCTGTCCTCACCAGAGTGCCGAGGGTAGTCATAAGGCAGGGGGCAGCTAGGACCTAGAAGAGCCCCTGACGCTTAGGACGTTTCGTTTAAATTCAGTCAACGTGTAATGTCTCCCTGGGCAACTCTCTTAACTTTAAAGCCTGGAAAATAATTGCCCCGCATTTCCCCCCACCTCCCCCCACCCCGCATGATTCTTAAGAGGAACTAATGAGCTATAATGCATATTAAAGCACTCTGAAAAGTAGAAAGCACTGGGAGAGTGCAAAACATTGTGATCTCATCAAAGGAAAGGAAAAAAGGAAACTTGTCTTACTATCTTTATCATCCATGTGCCCAGCCATTACTCGCTGCCTAGTGTACAGGATGGATGATTACTGCTGAAATGAAATCAGGTCTTTTCGACGCTAGTGGGAACCTCAGAGCATGCTTAGGGTGGTACTCCTGATCCCAGGAGTCTGCACATGTCAGGTTTCAGCAGGAAGATGCTAAAGCAGGAGGTATGGAGAGGCTCTGGTGTACAGTAGAGGGGGTCAACCTAAATGCCTGTAAGGTAAGCTGAACGGGCAGGGTGAGACAGGCCGTGAGGACAGGTACTCAGCTCAGCAGCTCTCACTCAGACTGAATTGGAGATCTTAATCTTTCACATTTCCCAGTCACTTGTAACTGGGCTGCCTACACTTTCACTCTATCAAAAGAAAACTCATTATGTACCTATTGTCTCCCTTTACATATAACATGTTGGTTAGATAATGCACAGATGTGGTTCATAATGAGGGTTAGGGATTTAAAAATCTACATACTAATATACAGGTTTTTAAATTGTGACTTATGCAATATTCAAGATATGAAAAAGCGTCAAGAATAATTAAGTATGTATAGGATACCACTACAGAGCTGCAACAATTAAACATTTATACAATCAGAACTCTTTGTCATCTTCCTGCTGGTCCTACCCTCCTTTCACTCCTCCTGAAGGCAACTGCTGTCCTGCATTTGTAATTATACTTCATTTCTTTATATTCATTACAGTGCTAAGGCTTCTTAAAGAATATATCATTTTTTAAACTTTTTATTTTGATACACTTCCAAACTTACAGAAAAGTTCCAAGAGTGGTACAGAAAACCTCCATCCCCCCTTAACTAGATCCACTAGTTGTTTATATTTACTTCATTAGAATATATGGTCTACATTTACTCTATTAGGCTATATAATACTAGGGCCAAGGATTTAGCTCAGTGGTGCCACCGCCTGCCTCACAAGCATAAGGTCCTGAGTTCAATCCTCTGTACAAAAAAAAAAAAAAAAAAAAAAAAAAAA